GTAGTGATTGACGTGCCCCGTACAGTTGGTCATGACTTGAAAGTCGCTTCATGATTTTTTACCATTTATGGTACAAGTAGCAAGCACCCCATCTTCCCTTTAGTAGACATGAGAGCTCAACCCTGAGACCAAAATTCCAGGTGGTTTTATGTCCTTATCAGTATAAAAATAAGCCCAGACAAGAGGGAGTAACAGTTAAAAATGTTTTAAATTCCTTCCTACCGGCGTGTGTTGATAAATTGGGTATTCTTAATTGTCACTGCCGAGTGAATTAGACGATTAATGAACAAGCAAGTTTGCATAAGCAATGTGCAAATTCAAGAATTAAAGAACTAGCTAGCTATTTATAGAAAATGTATCCTAAAATTTACTGTGACGCTTTTATCTAAACCTGTCATCATTTCTTTGTAGTTTGTGTTCACGGAAACCATCATGTCAGCTTTGATGGAGAGCTTTACCAAACTGCGACCTTACAAAGGATTTTGTTTATTTTTCTTGTGTATCATTCAATATCTTGTCGGACTGTCTTGCGTCACCCAGGTATGTACACAACTAGGCCACGGACTGTTTGGTCCTATCATAGGCCCTTTGCATAAACGGCCCCGATATTTGAATAACAATACTTATACATCCTAAGCCTCACATTCATGTGAAAAATCCTTTGTCTGGAAACATCAACACGAGGCTTAGGATGTGTAATGTATTTTTATTCAAATTCAGGCTCCATCTGTGCAAAGGTCTATCATTTGCAAGGAATGTATGTAAATATCTATAAACTACCCGGAATGCCCTCGTTGTGAATACAGGCTGATTGTCTCTTGTTATGTTGCAAAAGGATCCTTTCTCTGTGATTTACGTACCTATTAAAACACATCACGCGTAATTTGACAAGCAAAAACCGAAAAATGACAAATTATTTGTTTGCGACCTTTCTAATTGCTAAAGGTAAAGTATAAGCTGACCCATCAGTTAAACAATGTATTTTCTGTTGAAAGACATAAAACTTGCCAACGTTTGCATGTCTCAGTAGATGTGTCAGTCTGCATGTGGAAGTGTTCAATACTGACAATGCTTAGAGTCACATTCTAATCCAATTCCTCTATGTTGCTAGCAGCAGATGACCCTGTAGTTGTAATTTACAGACTCTTATGTTTTGGCTTTGATTTGACTTTTAACTTTCAACAGGGTGGCATCTACGTGCTGAATATATTTGACAGCCAAAGTGGCGGTCTATCTTTGATCTTTATGGTTATTTTTGAGGCTGTCGCAGTCAGCTGGGGATATGGTAGGTGGTTTCAATCTTGGTGACGTCATGTGTGATTTGATGATCATCTGTGGCCGTCATCTTGAATATTCATTACGAATGAAAAAAAAAAACATCTAAATTGGCTCTCTACATACATACATCATACATACATCACTTTTATTTGACCTCGGATTTACAAGAGTAGTTGTATAGCTAATTTCTCCGAGAAAATAACAAATAAAGGAATAAATAAATAAATAAATAAATAAAATAGTATTGCTAATAAGAATAACCTCAGGTTCTATGAACCTGAGGTCATATAGATCATGCACACCCAGATTTTGTGCAACAGACTTGTTCAGCTTTTTCTGCATTGTAACGTTATATGCTGAATTCAGAAAAATAGGCAGTATTAGGAACAGACATTGACACCTTGTGTAGAGAAAAGTGTCTTGCTATTAAATAGACACGACTGTTTAACTGGCAAATACATCATCCGGGACCCAAGTGGCATATTTACTTCATACTAGTGAAGATAATGATGACGTCATTTCCCGCTTTTTAACGGTTGTTTCTGCAAACAGTCATATATTCAAATCTCCGCGCTACCGTGTAATACATAGAGGAAATTACACGGTGGCGAGATGATATGACTTTTATGGTCGCGTGACAAGGACAATAGCTCACTTGTTCGCTGCGCTCACTCGTGAGATATTGTTCTTGCCACGAGAACAAAATTCATATCGTCGAGCTAACGTGTATTGTTCTTTTTACTCTATAGACATAATGATGAAGGCGTTTTTTACAATAACTTTCTAATTTCTCGCTCGCTGATTGGCTCATTTTTATCATCAACAAGAGTACAGACGGATAAAATTTTAATTTATGCAAGCTTTCAAGTTCAACTTTCAGCTGTCAAACTGTCAACTTTTTACCAATGAAATTTTATGGACTTTTTTGAGTAGCCAATCAAAAAGCGAAAAAAGCTGTTGACAATGCTCGCGTCATTTTGAATGAAATTCACTTATCTTTGTTTACGGCAGGTTTACGGCGTCTTTTCCCGCATTTATTCCCGTCATTTGACCATTTTGAAGTCTTGTTATTGTAAAAAACAAATTGACGTCAGTTTTTTATGCGTCTTTCCTCTTATTGATGATAAACTGCGTCATAACTTTGACAATGTTATGACGCAATTTATCATAAATAAGGACAGATGTATAAAAAACTGACGTCAATTTGTTAATATGACGATTTTCCGAATATTTCCGACCACTTTCCGACAATTTCCGAAGATTCTCCAAAACTTGTCCGAAGGTCACACGAACATTGCCGAACATTTTCCGAAAACTTCCGAAGATTTCCGACAATTGCTGAAGATTGCCGAAGACTTTCGAGGAAGACCCGAACATGTTTCGATCATACACCAACGAATTTAAGTACAATTTAAGAGACAAACTTGATATCAGTGAAATCATCGATATGTTCACTAGTGAGGATATGGAAAATACGCCACTCGAGTCCCGGATGTGGTTTGGTATGAATTTTACGAGTGATGTATTTTCTATTAAAACACTTGTATCTATATAATAAATTCTTTATACGATATTATCTCTGCGTGGCTATTTATCTATAATTCAAATTTTGAATAGAGTATTGAACTTCATCTAAAGAGTGAAAGAGTTATTTAGGGGTTCCATTCGCCCTTATAACGTTTTCAAATTTCTACTTTTTACAGGCGTGGATAAGTTCTGTAATAACATCAAATCGATGATCGGCAAGAAACCAAATATGTATTTCATAATCTGCTGGAAGTTCGTATCACCTATCGTTGGAGTGGTAAGACTACCAATGTAGCATAAGGTCGATTGATAGTGAAACTGAAAAAGATAAAACGTTATGCGTGTTTTGGGGCGCAATAAAATAGATGTGCAGAAAAGAGAGAGCTTTGTTTATAAGGTGAAAAGAATAGATTAGACCGTAATCCAAATGAATTCCACTTAGTAATTGTCGTTTGAGAGAAAGACCTCTGAGAACAAGCAGGATAATGGAACATTCT